CACCGGTTTGAACCAGTGCTAATTAAATGCTTGACACCAATTTTGGTTAGAATCGGTGCAAACTCTTTATTTTTTGGTCCCGTCCGTTTATTTTGGCATCGGTTTTTAAGAACCGGTGTAATTGGGGGGGTGCCTATTTAGTTTTTTCTACTAGTGAGTGTTTCGGGGTTTTTTGAGTGTCCTACGAGAGAGTCACAATACGACGACTGACCTCTAGACGCATGTACCTGCAAAACAACGGAGATTCCTGTAGGTGGGAGTTCCACCTCTGATGATCAAGTTAGAATGTGTATGAGGAGTAAAAGTGCAAAAAGTAAAGGTTTCTCTTGGATTCCAAGAGAGTATCTGCAATGTGTAATTCCTCAGTTTGAGGTGTCAAGTGTCTGACTTTCTCTAATTGTGAGTTAATGTGAATGTGAATTAATTGTGTGTTCCCGAGGGGGAAACATCTCCCTTTTATAGGGTGTTGAAAAACAAGCCGAGTACTAGGTTTCAGTAAACCTAGGACTGACTAGGCTTTGCCTAGGAATTTGGGCCGTTAGAGGCCAGTTTCTTAGTTCGCTACCTGTCTGCCACGTGTCGTGGCCTGACTGGTTCACCTTGAACCTCTCGCGAGGTGACATGTGGCAGACTATGGTTGGTCCACGTGGATGACACGAGGCAAAGCTTGTGTGGTCCACGTGGCGGGAAAAAATCCCCTAATCATTTGGCCCTAACAGGGGTGACGTGGCTTGCCACGTGGCGGCTGTGACAGATATCACGCTCTGATTGGCTAACGGTTTTTTACTGTTTTTTTTTACTTCTTTTTTTACTGTCTCTTGAAATTCACCCCCTATAAATAGGGGATGTCCAAATCATTTGTTTGGACATTTCTTAAAATTCTAGAGAACTTTGTCTTTTTCTGAGAGAGAACTTCCGACTGCACCAAACCGCCTGCTCTTACAGCCGCTGTAAATTTTCAAGCGCCTTCATCTTCACCAACTAAAGGTAACCGCCTGTTTCATTTTCTTTTTTCGTACTTTCTCTGTTTTTTCTTTTGAAAATGATTTCCTTAAAGCACACGACACGACCTAGGTTAGTGATCAGCCGGTCACCGAGGACGACATAATCTAGAACTAGGAGTGCCGACTGCCCCTTGCTGGATCACCCTTTGCGAACTGCCCCAAGTTCGACTGTCTATGTGTCTGTGCAGGAAACCATGGCCAGAACTAAGAGAACTGCAAGGGTGACAAATTCAGATGGTTCTTCCTTCTATGCGCTTGTCAACGAATTGTCTGACGTGCCGCCTGGTGCCCCAAGAACTCCTAGTGATTCCATTTTGGATGAATCAGGGAGGAGGTTCAAAATGATATGCCAGCTTTTGTTGAACTGGCCCACCAGGCGGACACCAGGACCTAGAGCTCAGACAACAAATATGAGCCAAGTACCACTAGCAAATTCTCATATGAACCTGAGGACAGGCACTCTCGGCTAGGGGTCGCGAGAGAGTCCCTCTTAGTTGAATTGGGAGAAGATTGGGTGGAGCCGTCTGCTACCCGCCAAGAGCAATTTTCCTCCTACTACCATCGGAAGAAGATGGCCGATAAAATAGGGAGCTTCAGAGCACACCATGTCATGGGACATGGTTACATTCTATGCGTGCCGGATGCTGAGGACACCGTAGTCTGGAAAGAGGGGTACAACTATGGGGATGAGTGTTTTGGCTGCATGCTATGAGGCAGCTATTAAAGATGGCCTTAGATTTCCTTTTCATCCGGTTGTGGAGCGAATATTGGACGGATACCAGCTGGGTGTTTGGCAATTGGTCCCAAACTCGTGGTTCAATATATTGGGCTATGTTGCCGACTACAAAATGCATCAAGTAGAGCCCAACTTCAAAGCATTCGCCCACATGCATTACCTAAGCCGGACCCAAAAAGCAAGCGGGACCGACTGGTTTCAATTGTCTAGCCATAAGGGCTCTATGATGACTTTGGGGAAGGAGAGCAAGTGGAAGGATTGGAGAAACACCTTCTACATCATCTTTTACCCTTACAAAGGCAGGAACCAAAAATATAACAGGTGGAACAGGAATCCACCTTTCCTTGCAGGCGGTTCAGAGCTGTCGCCTGTTCCTCGCAAAGCAAAGGAAGAGATCCTTGACAGGGGACTCTTCAAAGTAGATATTTAGGCGAACCCTGAGACTTGGGCGAGGGAATTCGTTCCCCAATATTATATTCCCAAGTATAACTGGTTTTATGATAGGACATATTTTGCCGCCTATGGCCTTAGTGAAGAAATGCCGAGAGGTAGTTGACCGCTTGTTCAAGTGTCTAGTAAACATGATTTATTTTTGCGTCAAACTAACCCCGATTTATCTTTTCTAGACAAAGTTATGGAAAAACTCTCGGCATCAAAGTGAGCTGCTACGTTGTTACGTTCGACCATCTTGGGCAAGAAAAAGGAAACATAAAAGAGAAGGAAAAACACGAGAAAGAACGAGAGTAACTAAAACAAAGGCAAAAACGGTAAGAAGAGGGACAAACAAGTGACAAATAAGGGGAATTCACTAGTGAAAAAGGGTGAAATGGTGGCGTAAACGCCACTCATCAAAATCCCCCACACTTGCCTCTTGCTTGTTCTCAAGCAAAACTAGGAAAAGAAAGACAAAGAAAACACTACAAAGACAAACACGACATGGGAAGGCTTAGAATAGCAAATAAAGTTTTAAGGTGGACAAATGCTCTATTCGGACTCAAAAGGATAGACAAACGCCAATGAATACTAGCCTTTCTAAATTAAATGATGTAAACACGCCCCAAGATGCTAATGGTTGCAATAGTCAAGCCTAAGCCAAGCATAGAGAACTAGTGATTCATTCTCTGCCCTAGTCCCCTCTAAAACGGTCCGCGTTCTCCCCACTAGCTTCAAATCATCCCCTTAGTTGGCTCCTAATGATTCCACGAAGGAACCGGAAAAAGATTCATTTTGAGGAGGTATAAAGTTATCTAGACATCTCAATTATGCATGCTCTCTCCATAGGGTTGAAAACCATCTCACTCTACCGGTTTTTGACCACGCCCCTCTAAAGTCTAAGGGTCTTTACTAGGGTTGTAATGACTTGTCTAAAGGTAAAGGTAGGGAGATCATTTTAAATAGTGGTGGCAAATCCTAAGTGAAGCAAGAGAATGGCCAACCCTCATAAACAAAACTCAAGAAACAACCACAACCCAAACAAACAACCATTATTTCGATTTCATTACATTACCACCCTTATTCAAGGGAAAGGAACTTCAAAGCTCTTAATTTTTTATATTTTTATATGTTTTTTTAAACTTCATTTGATCTTCTTACATCACATATTTCTTTTCAAGCTTTTCTTGCATGTTCATATTCAAGCTCAACTTTCAACTCTTTGCTTAAAACCAATTCTCAACATAATTCTTGCTCATATTCACTATGCTAACAACATTACCCTCACATACCAAATTCTTCACTAACTAAAAGGCTTAGTAAAACATAGGTCGTTAGGCTTGTAATGCGGTTAAGTAAAGAATGGGAAACATTAAGCTCAAATTGGTTAGCAAATAGGTTGATGCAAAATAAAAAATCAGTCAAACACATTCATAAAAACCCTAGAGAGAGAAAGCTTTGATTTGTGTCAATGGTGGTCTGATTTGGCTGGTTTAGTCCCTAAATCTGTTGTTATGGCTCGAAAAAGAAGTAATCTACCCTGCTCCCTCTAAGATCACAAAAAATGTCACTGAGTCATTGTTTGTTCCCGCTTCTGCTGGATTCCAGATTGTTCATGAGGTGTTTGATGAAGGAGATGAACTTGTCACTCCTACTCCTGACCTTTTTCATCCCACTGGAGGAATGATTAGTAGAAGAGATGCTGAGCTCTTGGCCCTTAGTTTTGGCTCTGTCTGCCCTAAATCTAATGGAACAGTAACTTCCCCGATTACTGTTCCATTGCCTGATCAAGCCTCAAGTTCTCCTGATGTGCCAGATGCTGGTCTTGTATTATAAAATCCACAACCTCCTGTCACTAATGAAGTTATGCTTAAAGATGTTGACAGAGAAGTGCCTGGTGATAGAGGTTTTAGTGGAAAATTGACTACAAAAGGGTTTGCTCTAAACTTTGTGCCTCCGTAAAGTAAAGATGGTAAGTTAATTGTTGTTTTGCCTAGTGATGAAATTGAGGAAGAAAATAGGAATTGGATTCATGCAATAGTTCTATATGTCGTTGGGTATTACCCTACAATTGCAGCCATTAAGCGCTTCATTGCTAATGAATGGGGAATTGCTAACAATCCTGATGTTTATTGGCATGATGAGGGATACTTCATAATCAATCTGCGTTCCTTAGACAATATGAATTCTGTCATGTGTGAAAGCCCTCATATGCTTTATGGAAAGCCTATTATTTTCAAACCCTGGTCTAAAAAATTTAATTTCAGTGCTGAAATTTTATGCACTATTCCACTATGGGTTAAATTGCCTAACCTTCCTCTGAATTGTTCGGGTGCTGAAACTTTGAGTCGAATTGGTAGCACCCTTGGTGTTCCAATATGTGTTGATGAGTGCACATCAAGGCAACTAAGAGTATCTTATGCTAGGTTACTTATTAAAATAGACATCACAAAACCTCTAGTGAAGTCTGTTTGGGTGGAAAGTCCCAAAGGAGAGATAGTGGAACTAAAGGTGATATATGAGTGGACCCCTCCCTTCTGTGTAAAATGCAATAAGGTAGGAAACAATTGTGATGAGCTTTAAACAAATCGTAATCAGCCTGCTCCTACAATCTAAGCTCAGAAGAAGGTTTGGGTTCAAAAACAGAAAGAAGGCCCTGAAACCAAAGTATCAGGAGCTTGGGAAACCATGAAAAAGAAAGGTAAGGAACATGCTTTGTCTTCTAATCCTGTCCTTACTACAAATAAGTTTGATATGCTACCTGTTGATCAATCTGATGATGCTGATTTGAGACCTAAACCTAGCGGGGGTGGGCCCCCTCCAATTCAATGATCATCACTGTTTGGAATATCAGGGGTCTTAATGATCCTTCTAAAAAGGCTAATGTTAAGCAGCTCCTTGATAGAACTAGTTCTGATTTAATCTGCTTGCTTGAAACTAGAGTAAAACAGATGAAGTGTGCTGGAATTCAGAAGAAGATTGCTCATGGCCTGATCTGGGTTTGCAACTATTCTGAGTCTAGAAAAGGTAGAATTATGTTAGGGTGGAAGAATGATAGAGTACATATTGATGTTCTTACTGTTCATTCTCAATTTATTCATTGTATTGTTAGTACTCTTGATTATAGTAATCAGATTACTTTCTCTTTTGTCTATGGGTTACATAATATCCATGATAGGAAGAAAGAGCTTTGAAGAGGTATTAAAGCTATTGGATCTGTGTCAATGCCTTGGATTTGCACTGGTGATTTTAATTCTGTCTTGTATCCTGAAGATAGAGTTAATGGAAATGAGGTCACAGATTATGAAGTTAGAGACTTCAAAGATTTTATTGAACAAATGAGCTTTACTGAGATCAAGAGTAAAGGCTCATATTTCTCTTAGTCTAATAAGGCTCATTTAGGCCCTAGAACTCAAACTAGAATAGACAGGGGTCTGGTCAACTTTGAGTGGCTCCTTCAATTTTCAAATGTTAAAGCTATTTATCTTCGTCCCTCATTATCTGATCATGCCCCTCTGATGTATGAGGTTCTCCCTCCTGCTCCTGGTAAGGGAAAGCCCTTTAGATTTCTGAATCATATGCTTACTCATCCTGATTTCATGAATATTGTGGCTGAAATTTGGAGTGCAGGATCTCAGGGAAATTCTATGAGTAGAATTTGGAAAAAGTGTAAGAACTTGAAGGTTAAGCTTAAAGATCTTAATACCAAAGTTTATGGTAATGTTGAAATGAAAGTTGACTTAACTTAGTAGGATGTTTTTGATATTCAAAGACAAATGGCTCTTGATCCTCATTCTCTGACTTGCTGGTCCAGGAGGCTACAGCTATCGAGCAGCTCAAATATTGGAGATCTGTGCAGGAGAGTATTTACAGAAAGAAAGCTAGGGTGCAATGGGTTAAACTTGGCGACTCTAACACCAAGTATTTCTTCTCCACGATGAAACAGAGACAAGCCAGGAACAAAATTGATTCTCTCTTGACTGAGCATCATGTTCTTCTTAAAACCCCTAGTGACGTAGAGAAAGAGATTGTGTCTTTTTATAAGCTTATTCTGGGTTCGAGATCTCCTGCCCTAGATGCTATTGACCTGAATACAATGAGAGCAGGGAAACAACTCTATACAGAAGCTCAGAATTTGCATATTAGTCCTGTGACCAACTCTAAGATTGACTGTGCAATCAAAAGTATCTCTGATGATAAAGCACTTGGAATTGATGGGTTCAACTTAAAATTTTTCAAACATACATGGGACATTGTTAAACTTGAGATCTATGAAGCTGTCCATGATTTCTTTGCTACTGGCACCTTGAATACTTAGTGGAACTGTACAACCTTGACCCTGGTCCCTAAAATCCAGAATCCCTCTTTTGTGAAGGATTTTAGACCTATTGCTTGCTGCACTGTTCTTTATAAGATTATTTCAAAGATCTTGACTGCTAGGCTTGCTTAAGTTGTTGGAGGTATTGTTGATGAAGCTCAGGATGGGTTCATTCCTGGTAAGCACATTGGGGATAATATCTTATTAGCCACTGAGCTAATCAAGGGTTATAATCACAAGCAAATTACTCCTAGATGTATGATTAATGTTGATCTGAAAAAAGCTTATGACTCCATTGCATAGAGCTTTCTTAAGGCTGTAATGTATGAGCTTGGCTTTCCCACTGTTTTTTTCAACTGGATTATGAAGTGCATATCTACTGTGTCCTTCTCCATCTTGATAAATGACTCTCCTTTAGCTCCTTTTAAAGCACAGAAAGGATTAAGGCAAGGTGACCCTATGTCTCCTTTTCTGTTTGCTATAGGAATGGAGTATTTATCTAGATTCTTGCATGAGCTTGCTAAGATGCCTGATTTTAATTTTCATCCTAGATGTGAGAGGCTGCTTATCACTCACCTAATGTTTGCTAATGACCTGTTGTTGTTTACTAGAGCCGATGAGTGTTTTTTTAAGCTCATGTTTAAGGCTTTTCAGAAATTTTCTACAGCTTCTGGCCTTGAGGCTAATCTGCTTAAGAGTGAGGTGTATTTTTGAGGTATTGACATAGATTTACAGGAAGCTCTTCTGAGAAGCTTGGGTATGGTTGCAGGCTCTATTCCTTTCAAGTATATTGGGGTGCCTCTTTCTTCTAAGAAGTTAACTATTCAACAATGCAAGCCCCTGGTTAACAAGATAACTAGCAGAATTGAGGGATGGGCTTCAAAATTCCTTTCTTATGGTAGTAGATTACAGCTTATAAAGAGTGTTATTTTTGGGATTCAAACATATTGGGCTCAAATTTTTATATTACCTAAAAAGATTATGAAGGAGATTGAACTAGATTTAAAGCTTTCTTGTGGACTTGTAATGCTAATCCCTCAAAGAAAGCTCTCATTGCTTGGAACACTGTTTGCTTGCCTAAATTATGTGGGGGATGGAATATTATTTCCTTTCATGATTAGAACACATCTGCTATTTGTATGATTTTATGAGATATAGCTCACAAAACTGATTCCCTTTGTGTCAAGTGGGTTCATATATACTATTTCAATACAGTCAGATTCTGGGAAGGTGATATTCCAAAGAAAAGTTCTTGGGTGCTCAGGAAAATATTGAAATACAGGAAATTGATTGATGATATTGGAGGATGGGATTTTGTAATGAATAATAACAGGGTTTAGATCCAGCTCATTTATAAAAGTCTTAGACAATAGAGTCCAAAGGTTCCTTGGAAAAGGCTTATTTGCAATAATGGTGCTTCTCCAAGGAGTATTTTCATTCTATGGCTTGCTGTTTGGAACAGATTGCTTGCTAAAGATAGAGTTCTTAAATGAAAATGTTTACAGGAAAATGAAAATGTTCACCATCTTTTCTTTCTTTGCAACTATTCTAGAAGAATTTAGGAGAAGGTCATGTATCTTCTCAAGTGTCACAAGTCTGTTCAAGGTTTCAACCAGGAAATGGAATGGGCTATGAAGAGAGGTAGAAGGTCAAGTTTGAATGCTAGATTACACTTGATGTTTCTGGCAAAAACTGTTTACAACATATGGATCCAGAGGAACAACACTATGTTCAATGGCAATTGTGAACCTGCTGAAACTGTTTTCAGATCTGTGGTTTACAGGATTTCTTGCAGATGCAGTGAAGCTGACAGACAAACCCTGATCACTGTGGTCACCTAGTTTCTGCTGGGTGCTCGTAGATCGTTGTTTAGTTTGTTTGTTAGAGTTTGTTTTGGTTGCTTATTGGTAGACTTTGTTCAGTTGTTGAGTGGCTTTTTCCCAGTTTTTGTTGTCCTGTTCCTTTGGTTCTAAGTGACCCTCCTAGAGGGTAGCTTTTAACCTCTGAGTTTAGATGGGCCTGTCTTGGCTGTAGGACCTTAGAAACCCTTCCTAGAAGGTGGGCTGGTAGTCCTAGGCCTTGGCCAGTTTCTTTGTTCTTTGAGCTTTGTATTGTTAGGTGTTGGCCTCTTTGTTCTTGTACCTCACTTTTTGCTTTTTTTTCAGCTCCTTTTGGTAATAATATTTGTATTTACCAAGAAAAATAAAATAATAAAAAAAAATCAAATTTGTAACTAAACAAAAGAAAATATAAATGAAAATGAGAAAAGGTGCCCTTTTCCTCCCCTAAAAGTGTTAGGTCACGATCTCGAGAGCTAGAAATCAACACAAGGATTAAGACACACATAATCGAGGATCCTAAAATGCCGCACAAAAAATTGATGTAGGCTTGAACAAAATAAGCCTCACAAGGGATGAAAAAGGTAAGCAAATGACAACTAAAGGGCTTTAAATCCACTACAAGGAGCAACTCCATCTTACCACTGCCCATGAACTAAGGGTTCAAATGTCCTCAAAATTTCTTAACCTTGCTAACTTAGCTAAGGTTCATTTAATTTAACCAAAGGAAATCTCAAACCGTGCATCTCATCATAAAGTTAAGAAGAAACAAGCATTCTAAGGCGCATAATCAAGGAAATAGAGTCCAAATGTACAAGCAAATTCCAAAACACATTCATATCATCTTGCCATAATCATGTTTGTCACACAAAAATGAAAACTAAACAAGAGAAGGAGGAAGAAATAAAAAAGGTTCGCAAATGAGGCACATAAATCCAAATAAAACCCAATCGACATACGATGATCGTTCGCTATCAACACCAACGATCCCATGTTCCTTAGAACCAAATACAAACAACCTCGAACTATTCAACTTCTTCCTATACGGATACTAAACTAAGCACGCCAAAAGAAAGAAAAGAGAAAATAGAGAAAACATCTCACCCATATGTCTCATTGAAGAATAATAGAGCAACCTTACAATTTACATGGCTCCAAAAGTTGCTTCCAATTTTCTTTTAAGCTACAAAAGAGAGAGATAAAAGCAAAACCAACACAATACAAAGAAAAATGTTAGAAAGAAAAAGAAAGAAAGATTTATCAACTCAAATTCTTGGGCATAACCAACTACCCAAACCTTACTCATTCTCGAATCATCATCATCAAAACATCATTGACCAACAACAAATAAAAACAATGCTACCAAAAAGCTTATCAACAACAACACCCAGGAGGCCACCCGTAACCATGGGGATCCCAGCCTCTGGTATAACCAGGAGGCCACCCGTAATGACCCTTAAAAATATCTAGTTGGGATGCGGATAACTGGTCAAATGGCTTAGGATGAGCTAGAGGCAAAGGGTGAGAGGGATCAACGTAGGGGTAGTTAGGGTCACCCCGATAATCACTCCCACCCGAAACCCGGTAGTCATAATGACTGGACTCATCGAGAAATTCGAGCCTTGGCACATTGGGGTACATAGGTTTGTCGTCACCCCCCCAAGATGGCACGGGCCCTTGTTTGACCGGCACGTACGCTAGCATCTTATAGGGCATTTTTTTTCGGATATCAGATATCGGTCCGATATCCGAAAAAATCACCCATATAAAAAATGTTAAACCCTAAAATTACCCTCAATCCCAACTTCCCCCCAACCCGCCTCTCTTCTCCGCTTCTCTCTCTTCCCCTCTACTCTCTCTTCCACCACCCTTCCCCACTACCTTCTCCGGCACCCTCTCTGACCACCTCACCACCGACTTCCACCATATCTCCCCCTTCCGAAACCCCCACCAACTCACCTCCCAACGACTTCACCGAGTTCCAACTCGCCGAGTCATATCGCGTAGAGAATACGACAATCACACGCCGCCACAATTGGAAGCTGATGGGTGGCATTTATGCCACCATTTCACCCTTTTTAACTAGAGAATTCCCCGGATTTGTCACTTGTTTATACCTCTTCTTACCGTTTTTACCTTTATTTTAATTACTTTAGCTCCCTCTCGTGTTTTTCCTTCTCTATTATTATTTTTTCTAATTTTTACCTTCTATTCGTGTGTTTTATTAACTCCTAGCACTCGTGGGAGAATTTTGGATTGCAAAACGAAGTTGGAGTTGCTAAGGTAGCTTGCTCAAGGAAGAGGAAATGCTACAAAGGAGAGAGCGCACTGCTACAGGTAGCCGCGGGCACGGACAGGTGCATCCTGAGCTACATAGTAGTTTCTGGAGATGGCCTTGAGAGGGCGCGGCTCAGAGGGCCGCAGGCGCAACATTTAAGGCCGGGGGTGCGGCGAGCTAGGTTTTCCCAACTTCTTACCCACGAAGGAGATGGCGCGTCAGCTTGAATGGAGAGGCCTCTCCCATGCCTGTTTGCCTTGTTTTAACAAGAGACTGTAAATAGTCTCTGGCTTAAATCTTCATGTATCTACTATTCCATTAACATCAAAAATACTTTGTAGAGAGAGAATATGATTATCTTTTAGAGAGAGAAAATAGGTAGTCTTCATGTTTCAATCTTGGTAATCAAGATATTCAAGTTTTCTTCAAGATTATTGCAACTATTTCATGTTTGGCTAATCCCTCAATATTTATAATAGTAATCTCTTTTCCTTATCTCCAGTCTTTTGATTTATTGTTCTTATTTGTGTTTTCTTCAATAAATTTCCTTGCTTTACTTGTTGCATTGCTTTCTTTTTTATTTAGAATCATGTTAAGTTGTGTTAGGATTGAATACATGTATAATTTAGTTGTCACGGCTATTTTCCTTTCTCTAGCTTAGATTTCTAGCAAGGGAAGGGGGTGAAAATCATGTTTTCTTGAGTTTCTATTGCTTATTGCTTGGGTTTTGCCTTGAGTTGATGATTTGTGCTTAAATATGCTTGGGGTTATTGTTCTCCACCTTTAATCCCAATGTTTTAGTCCTAGATTAAATGCATGAGAATGATCTAGTTTAGGTTTGATTGATTTCATCAACTTGCTTCGAGTAATTGCATGAGAATGAA